ATTTATTAATAATAATAATAATAATAATAACAAACTTGTATTTTTAAAATATATATAATATTCTTTAATATTTAATAATAGTTAATAATTAATAATTAATAGACAATAGACCATGGCAAGACAGATAGGAGAGTATATTTACGATAAAAAAATTGGATCAGGTGCATTTGCTCAAGTTTTTCAAGGGTTCTCTTTAAACGACAACAATAACAATACCTATGCCATTAAAGTTGTAGATCTCTTAAGGCTGGGTAATTCTAAACTTAAAGAAAATTTAAATTATGAAATTAAAATATTAAAAGAATTGGCACATCCAAATATTGTTAGATTATATGATGTTTTAGAGGTAATTATAATTATAAATATATAATAACAACCAACAACAATAATAGTTTCTAATACTTTTTTAATTAGGACCAACCACCAGATAATAATTCTCTTTATATGGTTATGGAGTGTTGCGAAGGTGGGGATTTTTCAAAATATATAAGAACACATAAAAAACTAACTGAAGAGAAGGCATTGTTTTTTATGAAGCAATTAGCTAGAGGATTAAAGTTTTTAAGACAGAAAAACATTGTACACAGAGATTTAAAACCACAAAACTTACTATTAAGCGATTCATCAGATTTTCCACTTTTAAAGATAGGCGATTTTGGATTTGCAAAATTTATTAATCAAACACAATTAAGCGATACATATTGTGGCTCACCATTATACATGGCACCAGAAATTTTATTTAGAAAGAATTATACAGTAAAGGCAGATCTTTGGTCAGTTGGTGTTATCCTTTATGAAATGGTTGTTGGTGAACCTGCGTTCAATTGTCAAGCTTTTCCAGAGTTATTGGATCGTTTAACAAATAGAAGAGTTAATATTCCGACCCATGTTACACCAGATTGCCAAGATTTAATTAATCGTTTATTACAAATTGATCCAGCTCAAAGAATTTCATGGGATCACTTCTTTAATCACCCATGGCTTAATAATAACAATAATAACAATAATAACAATAATACCAATCAACAAACCATACCCTTTCCAATCCCAATAAATAATAATAGCAATAATAATAATAATAATAATAATAATTTTTCATATTCTCCTTCAAATGATAACAATAATAACTTACCATTTTCGAATAATAATAATTTTTCGCCAAATGAAAATAATAACTACCCTCCAACTTTGAATAAATCTAAATCGTTTGAAAATACAAACAATATTAGAGCTGTAAGTAATTCATAAATGGATAAAAACTACTAAAAATAGGTACCTATACTAATTCTTTTTTTTTTTTTTTTAAAAAACTAGCATCCATTCAAAGAAGATAAAAAACCACAACAACCACAACAACCAAAACCATCACAACAACCAAATATTTTAGCGTCAGAATTTGAAAAAGATTTAGTAATTTTAGATGATGGAGAATTAGAATCAATCGAAAAAACATTAAAGAGAGCAATAGCAATAGCAGAGTTGGGTGATTTGAAACAAGGTGATCCATCTGAATGTATACCACTTTATTTAATAGCTCTAAATTTAATGAAATCTAAAATTCCACCAAAAGATCCATCATCTTTACCCGAGAAATTTAAAGCCACATTCAAAGAATATATAAAGAAACTAGTTCACATATTCTCTTCTGCAACCAATGTAAAATATAATCAAGATAAACATAATGACTCATTTAATGCAAATCGTGTTATTTATGAAAATGCTTTAGAATTTGGTAAGAAGGGTGCTGTTGAAGAGCTATACAAGAACTACTCCATTTCAATTCAATTGTATTCCGATGCAGTTTTATTATTTGAATATCTTTTATCAATTGCAAACAATAACGATGATCAAGAAATTTTAAAAAAATGTATGTATCATTTAATTAAAAAAAAAAAGTTCAAAATTTATATGTATTAATTTTTTTTATTTTTTTATTTTATTTTTAGATTTAAATGCATTTTCTGAAAGAGTTCAAGAATGTAGAAAAAATGTAAATAATAACAATAATAATTAAAATAAACTACTCATTCTTTAAACTATAAAAAATAAAAAATTCAAAAAAATAAAATTTTTTTTCGTTTTTTTTTTAATGAAACATTTTTTTTTATTTTTTTTTTTATTAATAATTTAATTATAATTACAAAAGAAAGAATGATTAAATTCGGATTATCATTATTCAAAAATAATGGTGTTACAAATTCAGCATTATTAAAACCAATTTCTAATAATGGAGAATTTTTTATTAGATGTTTTTCAACTTCAGAAAAAATGAAGGCTTCACATTTTATTAAGACTAGAGGTAGTTGCAAGTCAGTTGGTATTGTAGGCTTACCAAATATTGGTAAATCAACACTATTCAATGCCTTAACTAGTTCAAATGCTGCTATGGCTGCTGTATGCATAGATTTAATATATTAAAATATTATTATTAAATTTAATATTAATTTTTTTTTTTTTGATTAAATCTAAGAATTTCCCATTTTGTACTATTGATCCAAATGTTGGTAAAGTTTTTGTTCCAGATGAAAGATTGGATTTAATTTCAGACTTATTAAAAACTAAAAGTAAAGTTGGTACACAATTAGAGTTTGTAGATATTGCAGGTTTGGTTAAAGGTGCATCAGATGGTGAAGGTTTAGGTAACAAATTTTTAGGTAATATTAGACAGGTATCATTAATAGTTCATTTGGTACGTTGCTTTGAGGATAAAGATATCACTCACGTATCAGATCAAATTGACCCAGTTAGAGATATTGAAACTATAGAAACCGAATTAATTTTAGCAGATTTACAATCATTAGAAAAGGTTTTATCAGAGAAAAAAAAACAAAGTAATCCAGAGATTCAATTGAAACACGAAATTGCCAAAAGAGTTTCAGAGGCACTTTCATCTGGTATTCCAGCTAGAGATGTTGAAATCAGTGAAAATGAATGGCCAACTTTCCAAGCACTCCATTTATTAACCTCAAAACCAACAATATACACTTGCAACGTCCCAGAAAGTGATGCTTCAGCTGGTAATAAATATACCGAAATGGTAAAAGAGTTTTCAAGTAAAAGAGGTTTAGAAATTGATCCAGTTGTTGTTTCCGCTAAAATAGAAGCAGAGTTAGCAAATTTGGAAAGTGAGGAAATGAAAAAAGAATTTTTACAATTATACGATCTTTCAAGCAATGGTCTTTCAAAGGTTATTAATGGTGCATACAAATTATTAGGTTTACAATCATATTACACTGCATCTGAAAATGAATGCAGAGCCTGGACTATCCCAGTTGGAACTAAAGCTCGTCAAGCTGCTGGTGTAATTCATACAGATTTTGAAAAAGGTTTTATTAAAGCTGATACCATTGCCTACGTTGATTTCGTCGATTGCAAAGGTGACGAAAAATCAGCCAAAGACAGAGGAAAGCAAAGATCCGAAGGTCCTAACTATGTAGTAAATGATGGCGATGTTATGTTTTTCAAATTTTCAGGTTAAATTAATTAAAGTAATATTCCTCTAATTAATTTAATTTTAATTTTAATTTTAATTTTTTTTTTTTTTTTTTTTTTTTTTTTAATTTTGGTTTTTAAAAATTCAACCTTAAAAAGAACTTTAAATATAAAAATGTAATAAAATGTAAAAACTAAAATAAACTATCAAAATAAACATAACATTTATTAAAAAAAACTTTTATTTTATTTTATTTTTTAATTTTATTTTTTTTTATTTTTTTTAAATAGTTTTTATAGTTTTTTTTTATTTTTTTTTTTAATTTTTCATTTTTTATACTTTTTTAAAAATAATAAATATTAATAATGAATAAATCAAATAAAATTATATTCAACCTTATAAGAATAAATAAAAACTTAAATAAAACAATACCTTATTATTTAAACAATAATCATTTTCATAATAAATATTATAATAATAAAACAAAGCTAGTTATAAACAATGATACTATAAATAATTTTAAACAAAGAAATTATTGTACAGGTTTAGAAAGCCAAAATATTTTCGATTCACATAAAGGATCTTTATCAGAAATTTATAGTATCGATGGTTATAGTGATTCAGGTTTTTCAATCAATAAAGTTTTAATCCCTGGTTCAATTTGCATTATGCCACACCAGTTGTTCCTTTGGGATATCCATAGCCCAGAGAATATTACAATCGATTCATTAGCACCATTAGACATAATCGAACCAAAATGCGAATTCTTAATAATTGGTACTGGTAATACATCATATAAATTTTCCAATGAATTCCTCAGTGAAATTCAAACTAGATATCAAATGAACCTCGAAACAATGTCAACATCACACGCAATTGGAACCTATAATATTTTATCAGAAGAGGGCAGAAGAGTAGCAGCATTCATTTTACCACCTGTTCCATTACCAGAATTTAAAGATCCATATTTTGTTAAAAAGAGTGAATACGAAGCAAAGGGTGTATTAGAGAGAGCTGGTAATATTTTAGATTTAAATACAGATCTCATTAGAAAAAAACAAACTTTAATTAGAATGAAATTAGACGAATCAAATAACGAGGCAATCAAGCTTATCGAGAAACAAATTTCAAAGATTGAAAAAGATTTGGGTGATAATATTCAAGAGCAAGATAAACCATTTGATAGTTATTTTATACCAACCCGTAATGTCGAAGAAGGTTTTATTAAAAACAACGACGAAGAAAATGAACAAAATGAAGATGTTGAAAAGAAATCGGTTAGAGATAGAGCAATTATTTGGTTTGTAAAGAAATTTGGTAAATATGGTGAAAAAAAATAAAAAATAAAAGATTTTTTTTATACAATTTTAAGTTTTATTATTTTTATTTATATATGATGGCGGTAATAGTCTTTAGTTGTAGTTTCATTTGTTCTATTTGTTCTATTTGCTTTATTTGCTTTTTGATTAAATAATTTACACATCTAAATAAGTAGGATTTTTCTATTCCCAACCAATTTCTTCATCACCACTTTCCTCTTCGTCATCGTCATCTTCATCATCGTCTTCATCAGACTCAAGATCTGGGTTAAGATCAAGGTCAATATTAAGTTGTTGTGGTGGTAATAATGTTTGTGGAGGAGGTGGGGTAATAATACTTTGCATTGTTTGGCCACCATTGTAAATTTCTCCGTTGGCAGAGGTTGTGTCTTGTTGTGGAATTTGTTGAAGTGATTGAGTTTCAGATTCTTTAATTGGTGTATTATCTGCGATTGGGGATTGTACTGCTATTGGTGTTGTTACATCTTGTTCTGCTAATCCATAATATTTTAGTAAATTTGCAGGTGGTTTTGTAAATAATACAGATGCTCTCATCATTTCATCTTGTGGTGCTGGCGGTTTAAATAGTGATATCAATGGTAAATGTGGTTGGTACCCAAATGGTGCAAAGGTAGTACCACTAATTTTGTGTGCATATGAAATTAACTCTTCTGGTGTTACTTCTCTATTAATAATATCTGGTGTTACTGGTGTTGATGGTTCATTTAGATCCAAAATTTCACTTACATTCGATATATTTGGATTCATTTTTGCATTGTCTTGTGAAAGTTCATTTTCTAAAAACGATTCTATATCTTTTAAATTGTTTGCTAATCCTGATATTAATTTATCCTTTTCTTCAATTTCTTTTTGTATATTGGCAATTTCATTTTGGTATTTTTGATGTTTTTCGACTGTAGTTTTTTTATTATTAGTTTATTATATTTTATTAATATATATGAATAATTTTATATGTTAACATACGCTTTTTTAATGTTTTTTGATATGTTTTATCAACTTCAATTAAACGTCCCATAATTTGTATAACTGATTGTGGTGTTGCTATATTTGTTTGTTCATTTTGTTGCTGTTGTTGTTGTTGCTGCTGCTGCTGTTGCTGTTGTTGTTGTTGTTGTGGTTGCTGCTGCTGAATTTGTAAATTTTGTTGTAGTGGTAAATTTGATGACAATGATGAAAGAAATTCAAAGAAAATTTTCGATATGTTAATGAATTCGTTTAAATCTTTTGAAAGTTCGTCACCCATAGATTTATTAACAGTTTTTTTATTAGGTATCATTCTTTAATCTTTTTTGAAAAAATAATTAATGAAAAAATGAAAAATGATAATTAAAAAAAAAAATTAAATTATTTTGAAATTTTTTTAAAAAAATAAAAATAATTTTGGGTGGTTAAATTTTTTAAGAAATGATTGATTTTGGTTTTAAAATATTTTAATTTACAAATTATTTTTTTTTTATTGTAAAAAGAATTAAATTTTATAAAAGTTGTTGTTTAAATATTTTTTGTTTCCTTTGAATTATTTATATTTTTTTTATAACTATGTAGCTAGATAACAGGCACAGTAACCACAATTCGTGTGAGATTCTGAAAAACTGGTTGAAGCAGGATTGAACACCAAATCAAATTTTTTTCTTCTTTTTATGAAAGTGAAGATGATTCTTAATGATTACATTAAGTCATCAATATTTTTATTGTGTTTTGGTATATGTTTTATTCTTATATGAGTTTTAACAAACTGGATACAAGCTGGGCACGGTAATGTCAATTCGTGTGTGATTCTGAAAACCTGTATGTATTTTTTTTAAAAGTTTTTTTTAAGCAAATTCTTTAAATTAATTTTATTTAATGTTTTTAAAGAAAATATTCTAAACTATTGATCTTTGGTGCTCAATAAGTATGATCTTTCTAAGATAAATTCATTCATTGCTGTGATCTACTTATTCCATAATATTAATTTTTTATATATTTTTAAAATTGAAATTTTTTTTTTTTTTTTTTTTAAAGTAAAGATAATTAAAAGCAAATGCTTTAAATTAATCAATAAATTAGGGGAAATCATTATTATTTATTTCAATCTAAATTAAGAATAAAAAATATAAATATTATTTTAGAATATTTTATAATTTACAAAAATAAAAAAAAAAAATAAAAAACAGAATTTAAGATTTCAGAGTCAAGTTTATTGCTGTAAGGAATTCTTGATGTTTTTTTAAAAAATTAAATTTAAGAGAAACTTTATTTAATATTAATATTAATTTTATGGGACGATATTTAATTATTTCTTTTTATTTTACTTTTTTTAATTTTTTTTTACTTTTTTATAAAAAAGTAAGAAAATTTGTTAAATCCCACAAAAATCAATTAATTTTTTTTTAATCGCTCTATAATTCGAAATGAAATAAATATATTCAAGAATTCCTTACAGCAATATAACTCATTCAAAATTTAACTCTGAAATCTCGAATTCTGTATTTGAATTTTTTTTTTTTTTTTAAAAGTGAAGATAATTAAAAGCAAATGCTTTAAATTAATCAGTAAAATACACTGCATACAAGTTGGGCAAGGTACGTCATAGTTTATTTTTTTTTTTTTTTTTTTTTTTTAAAGTGAAGATAATTAAAAGCAAATGCTTTAAATTAATCAGTAAAATAGTTTATTCAAAGTTTTTTTTTTAAAAAAGTGAAGAATTTATTCAAAGATTTTCTATAAATAAAGTAGCTCCATCCATTTACATATTGAAAATTTAATTATCATCGATCACCAGGAAGATATACCTTTATAAAAATCGCCTAGACATGGGATCGAACCATGGACCTAGCGGTTAACAGCCGCTCGCTCTGCCTACTGAGCCATCCAGGCTTTTTTGATGAAAATGTAATATAACTGTTGTTATATTTAAGAATTCTAATATAATGAATTAATTACTAAACAAAATGTATTATAAACTAAATGTAATTAATTATAATAATAATAAAACACAAAATAAAGATAAAATAAAATATAATAAAACCAAAATAAATATATAAAAATATTTAAAAATTATATTTTAAAAAATAACTAATCTTTATTAAAACTAAAAATTACTAATTATTATTATTTATAAATTCTATAACTAAACTATTACTTATTACTTTCTCTATATTATTTTCTCTCTTATTCTCTGACTAAAAATTATTTTTGAATTTTAATTTATACTGAAAAATATTATTTTTAAAAAAATAAAATTAATTTAAAAAAAATATTTAATTTTAAAAATGTGTTTATATTTGATTATTATAAAATAATAGATGTGTGACTATTTAAATTAAAAATGTGTCTAAATTTGTTGATAATTATAAAATAATATATGTTTGTCTTTTTCTAATAAATGTGATATATGTTTATAATTATTATAATAAATTTGAATTGATTTTAGAATTGTTGTTATATCACATATGCCCCCCTTTAAAACAAATACCATAATTGAAAAAATTTTCTCTAAAATTTTTCTGATTCTCGGACCTATAAAATCTTTTCCAATAGATGCAAATGTTTCTGACTTAACTTCAAATGGTACTAACAAACTAGGAGCTTTACTAAATTTTCCTTTTACTACTTTAAAATATTCTTGATTAAAATGATTTAACGTATCGGTATTATAACTATTACTTGAGAATGTTTGTATTTCAGCTTTATCTAATGAGTATATTTCTTGCTTTGGGTAATTACTTTCTGTCCATTTTTCTTTAGATATTAAATGATAACTTAAAGGTTTCTTATTTGTTATTGAATAGTACATTTCTAAAAGTTTATTTATTATTGGATCTAATTCTTGTTGACTTGATGAAGAGATATCGATTATTGACAACTTTAATTGACCTTGATTTCTAAATTTTGAATATTCATTATTTTTTTCGTTAGTTGTTAAATATTCATTATTATTATTATATAATAAATTATTATTTTGATTTTCCATAACTGATTGCTTATTATTTAACACAAGTTCTTTACCATAAGCTAAATGTTGAATTCTTGATAAATTTATAAAATAATTGACTTTACTAGGACTATAAATAATTTCATATTGATGTTTGAAAAGATCTACAAATGGTGTTAATTGTTTTTTACTTGATGGTACAGGAGTTTTTAAGAGATTTGAATGTTTATTACCATCATTAGATACACCTTTTTCTGAAATTTTGTAATCTAAAAATTTAATTTCTTTCCGAGCGATTTCATATTTTTCTAATTTTAATTTTATAGCAGCATCTCTTAAAATACCAAAAACAAACTTGAGATGCATTGCGTGATGATTTGATAACTGAATTTTACTTTGACAAATTGATAAAAAATTGACTAAACCAAAAGGTATACTAAGATATCCGTCAAGACTAAAATGTGAATTGAAATTTGTAAATTTAATACTTTCTTTCTTTGGAATAACATTTAATGGTTTAAAATTTATACAATTTATAGCCTTATCTACTTCTGGAACTAAAACTAATTTATTATTTGTGGTGGCTATAATTTCTTTTTCTAACTTATCTTCAATTTTTTCTTCGATTATTTCTTTTTCATAAGGAATGATTTTACTAATATTTTCAGCTAATAAACTTTCTTTTTCTTTAACTATAACTTGAACTGGACCAAATTCACTAATATTTTCTATAACTAAATTTTCTTTAACTAAATTTCTAAATTCTGTTGGATTTTTTTTTAATTGATTTTCTAAAATTGAATTAACACTATTATTTCTTTCTAATATACAATTGATTGCATTAACTGATTGAGGTTGACTGAAATTTTCTTTTTTACTTTGCTCAATCTCTTTTTCTTTTTTATTCTTTAATTTATTACAATCATTTACTACATGGCCTGGTTTTCTACAATAATGACAAAAAACATTTGAATTTCTTTTAAAATTTATAGCGTTAACTGAAGATGTGGAACTATTATTATTTGAAAAATTTGACATGGATGATGATGGACTAGTTAACTGCAAACTAGTTTTAATAGTACTTTCTGGTCTGAAAGATGGTGGTAATGATTGAGATTGGTTGATTCCTTGCATTAATGAATAACCATAATTTTCTTCCGTTGCTCTAGAAATCTGTCTGACATTTTCATAGGCAATTTTTAAAGTTTTAGGAGCAGTTTTAATTATATCTAATCTTATTGTATCAGGTAGAGATTTAATAAATAAATCGACTTTAACTGGAACTGGTACATCTACACATACACACTCTACTTGATTGAATTCTAAAATTAATTCTTCAAAATTTGAAAATTTTCTTTTATGAAAATTTAATAATTTACTGATTGGAGCTTCTTCTACAGGTGCATATAAGGTTTCTAAATTATTTAAAGCGGTTTCGGCTGATCCTCCAATGGAATAAAAATTTAAAAATGTTTCTAATGGTCTTTTATCGAGATGTGAAATAATTTGTTTGGCATTGTATTTATTATCATACATAACTGACAAACCTAACTTGAATGTTTTGAACGAAATGGTGTTGGGATCACCATTGAATAATAAATAACCTTTTTGTTTTACTTTAACTGGTCTATAATAATCAATATCTTCCTGTTGATAAATTGATTCTTGATTTAACTGTACCTCCGCCATTACTGGAGTATCTAAAATTATTTACTACTAATATTATTAACTACTATTATTTACTATACTAAAATTTATTATTATTACTAAATGAGTTTAAATGTTTACTAAAATATACTGAAAAAATGTAATAGACCCCTATGATAACTGAATGAGCCAAATGTAATATAATCCCAAAAATAACTGACTAAGATGTGACCAAATGTAATAGAACCCCAAGATAGCAAACTGAGTTGTGACCAAATGTAATATAACTGTAAGATAGCTTACTGAACTGTCACCAAATGTAATATAATACCAAAAATAGCTTGCTGAATTGTCACCAAATGTAATATAGCTGCAAGAACCCCAAAATAGCTAACTGAGCTGTCGCCAAATGTAATATAACTGTTGTTATATTTAAGAATTCTAATATAATGAATTAATTACTAAACAAAATGTATTATAAACTAAATGTAATTAATTATAATAATAATAAAACACAAAATAAAGATAAAATAAAATATAATAAAACCAAAATAAATATATAAAAATATTTAAAAATTATATTTTAAAAAATAACTAATCTTTATTAAAACTAAAAATTACTAATTATTATTATTTATAAATTCTATAACTAAACTATTACTTATTACTTTCTCTATATTATTTTCTCTCTTATTCTCTGACTAAAAATTATTTTTGAATTTTAATTTATACTGAAAAATATTATTTTTAAAAAAATAAAATTAATTTAAAAAAAATATTTAATTTTAAAAATGTGTTTATATTTGATTATTATAAAATAATAGATGTGTGACTATTTAAATTAAAAATGTGTCTAAATTTGTTGATAATTATAAAATAATATATGTTTGTCTTTTTCTAATAAATGTGATATATGTTTATAATTATTATAATAAATTTGAATTGATTTTAGAATTGTTGTTATATCACAAAAAGCTATTTTTAGTCCATATTGGCGGTTTTTTTGTTTAAATAATACTCTTCCTGCTGAACCATCCAGGCTTTTTTTGGAAATTCAATATGGTTATATCCTCGTGGCTTTTTTTACATATGTTAGCTGAAAGAGTGCTCAGGAGATTCAAGTTAATCTGCGCAGCAGCATGGGAAAGAGAAGTCAATAATATTAACAAAATATAAAAAACTTCAACACCAAGATCCAGCTAATCAGCGACACCACACAATTAAGATAGTCAACAGGCTAGAGAAGTTTTACAAGATAAGGAATTCAGATATATTTAGAGTGAAAATATCTATACACCTGAAAAGCTACAGAACTTTATCGATGAATTACAAATAAAAATTAAATAACAAAAACTACCCAACAAAAATTAAATAACTAAAATTAAATAATCCAAATTAAATTACTTAAAATTCTTTTAAAAATAAATTAATAAAAGTCGTGTTAACCTTTGCGCCATTCTTATTGAAGGGGTGTTCAAAAATTCGTAGTTAGCAATTTATACAAAAGTGACTTTTTTTTAAATATCAATTTTATAAAAAAAACTAACATTTGAAGGAGTAATCAAAAAATTTCAGTCTATCCATATATCCTTATCGATTCAGATGTGAATATTTAAGGAAATTCAACACTCACATCATGAAAGCTAACTCCACGGTGTTATCACAATTGTAGTTAAGTTTGAGAAACTATTCAAGATGGAGCTCAGAAATCTACAATAAATAGATAACAACTGAATAATGTGGATGAATATTAATATAAAAAATAATCAAATTCTTTTTTACCTTTACTCCATTCAAAATGGTTTACTAAAAAATCTGTGTTAAAGATTAAAAAAAAAACTTGTAGAGTAATAATATTAAAGTTAAAAAAATTTCTTTTGTAAAGCTTGTAACCTCACATCTTAGTTGCTCAATCATGAAATAAAAGTTGATCTGCTCAGCTGCATGGGAAAGTGAAATCAAAATTATAAATAATATAAAAAGTAACTCCAACACATTGATTTTTTATGCCAGTTATCAAGAAAGCATACAGGAGTGATACCTCTGATAGTAAATATATAATTTAACTACATATGTAGTACTATAATCACCCTTGCTTTTTCTATAAAATTTAGAAGTCATTTGAAATATTGGTTTTTTTTTAAAATTAATAATAAAACTAAACAAAATAAAAATAAAAAACCAAATAATATATCAATTTAAAAATAAAATATTTTTTAACCATCAAATCAAACTAGCTTTTTATTGAGATTTTTTTATTATTTAAAAATAATAAAAAAAAGGAAATTATAAACCCCACAAAAATAAAATTAAAAAAATTATATGGTTAATTAACTTTAAATTTGATCTTTAAATTTCATTTTATATTTAATAGGTAAATTAAAAATTTACATTAGACCAATGTTTTTTTATTAAATTTTAAAATTTTCTTTGATAAAAAAATAACCCGTAGCTCAAAATAACAAAAAAAAAAAATTGATTGCTTGTTACTGCAGTCCCAAATATTAATATTTTAAAAGATAAATGAATAATCTTTATTGGTTTTAAAAAAAAAAAATTTAATAAAATGAATCTAAATTATATAATCTAATACCAAATGATTTTTAAAATATTTTGGTTTTTATTTTCTAGTTTTTTTTTTAAATGTTTTTTTTTTTTTTGTTTAAAAAAATAAGTGATGATATTATTAATGGTATACTATTTTTGTATTTTTTTCTTTACATAAATTTATTTAGTTTTGCTTGTGGCAAAGAAACGTTGAGCAAAACCAGCTAAACCAGCACCAATAAAATCAGCTAACCAATACATCCAATGAGCAGTCCATACATTACCAACAAGAGCAGTACCAAATACTCTAGCTGGATTGAAAGCACCACCAGATACTGAACCACCTAAGAAACAAAGGAAACCAAGAGTGAAACCAATAGCAATTGGGGCAAAACCAGCTTTAGTTTGACCAGATGTGGTATAGATGGTTAAATTATTACTTGAAGATTTACCACCACCTTGAACGACTTTAGCCTTAACACCATCATCTACAGTATCAAAAGCAACAGCGAAAATGACATAAACTAAAATAAAAGTAAGAATGAGTTCGGTAAGGAAAGCATTTGCAATACTTGAATCATTTGATGGAACTACAGCAACAGCATAGGCAACATTTTTACCTTCAAAATCACCTGGGAAAGTGGCTAAAAGAATTAAAGCAGCTAAAACTGAACCAACTAATTGAGCACCTATATACATAAGACCTTTGGTAATTGATGTTTTTCTTGTGACACATGTTGCAAATGTAACAGCTGGGTTAAAGTGAGCACCAGATACATCAGCAAATGAATAAATAAGAGCTACTGCTGCAAAACCTGTTGATAAAGCACCTACTACTGGATTTGGTGCTGTGGCTAAACGTTTAAAGTTTGCTGCTGTTGCACAAACAATATAAATAAATAAAAATGTACATAACATTTCACCTAAAACTGCACGAATTAAAATCCAACGTTTTTTATTTGCTTCTGTTACTGGACTGAATGTATCTAATTCATTATTTGAATATTCATTCTTTTCGGTATCCTCCATTGTAATACCTTCTTCTAAATCTTGGTATTCTCCTGATTTTGACATATTTATTTCTATTTATTAATATACACTTTATATTCTATTTTTTTTTTGCAAAAATTTATATATAAAAATTTTAAAAAAAATTTAAAAAAAATTTTAAAAATCTATTTAATTTTTTGTTTTTTTTTTTTTTTGTTTATTTGTTTGGTTTTATATAAATATATGAGATAAAATAAAGTACTATTATTTTATCAGCTATTAATATAAATATAATTAAATTTAGATATTAAAAAAAATAAAAATAATAAAAATAACCGATGTTTTTAAATACTAGAAAAAAATTTAAAAAAAAAAAAAAAATTTTGAAAAAAAATTTAAAAAAAAAAAATAAAAAAAAAAAATAAAATAATTCAAAAAAATTAAAATAAAAAAAAGAAATCAAAATTTTTTTAAAATAAAATATGTTAAAAAATTTTGATTGGATTTATTTGGGGATTTAAAATATTTACAAACGGGGTTTATATCTTATTTTATATTTGATTCAATATAAAATTTAATCTGTGGTTAGGATTTTGATCATCATGGGCAATTTGATTATGGTTATAACTTTCTATACCATAGTAACCATGATGTTGAGGATGTTGTTGATGGGAATGATAGTGGTGATATTGTTGACGATGAGCTGGGTTTTGTTGGTCATAATCATCAAGATTTTTATTATGAATTTGATTCATTTTTTTAATATAGCTTTCGGTAAATTGATAATCATTAAAGTTATGATTTATATTATTGTTATTATTGTTATTATTAATATTATTATTGATATTATTATTGATATTATTATTGATATTATTATTATTATTGATATTGTTATCATTGTTATTGTTTTTATTATTTGAAGTAGTATTGATATTATTTTTACTACTCATATTTCTTGTTGCTCTATTATCAATATCTTCAATAACTTTTAAAATTTCTTGTTGGGTTCTAATATTTTTTGGTGGGCTATTCATTTTAGAATAGACCTTATTAACTTGTGAATGAGTAGTTGTCGAAGTTGTTGTTGTACTTGGACCAAAGTATTCATTGGATACAGTCGATTTGAAATTGAATTTTGGACTTTCTGGTTTATTAGGTGAAATCAATGACTGAATTGATTCCTTCCATTCACCAAAATTATATGTTTCAGCTTTACTATTTTTATTATTGTTATTGTTATTATTATTATTATTAAGTTTTTCTTGATATTCTCTTTCATATTTATCCATCATGCTGTCAACATCAATTTTTTTAATTGGGCTTGACATAGAATTATTCGTTTTAACATTTATACTTGAGCTATTATTTTTAATAGCACTATTTATAATATTATTGTTACCATTATTATTGTTAATGTTATTATTATTATTATTATTATTATTATTATTATTATTATTATTATTATTATTATTATTATTATTATTATTATTATTATTATTATTATTATTATTATTAATACTATTATTTTTATTTTTATTTCTTAAAAGAATTTCTTGAATCATTTGTTGTGCCTCTTGATTTTCAAGTTCTGAAGAACCTGGTGTTGGATTATCAGATGCTTCTTTTTGGGTTGGTTGGGTTGGTGACTTTTGTTGTGATGATGGAGATGGTGAAGGTGATGGAGGTGATGGAGAGTTCAAAAAAGGAGAAGAGGGGTTTGGGGTTGGTGGTTTAATATATTTTGTTAATTGAGTTAAATCGTTTGTATAGTTATTTAAAGTTGATTTATAGTCCTCCAATGCATTTAAAACCAACATTTCTTTTTCTTTAATTTTGTTTTGAATATTGTTAATGGTTTGTAAAACGTATGACTGCAAATCTTCATATTTATTTTCACCAGTGAATGAAATTTGTATTGATGTTGGTCTTGTATTATTCGATTGATCCAAACGTAGTTTTTTTGTTGTTAAAATTGAGTCATCATCTTCGTCGTCCTCATGTAATCTTTTTAATGATTCCTCTTCTTCTTTATCGCTTGCTGTGCTTGTGTCCTCCTCTAACTCAACCGGTTTGGTTGATGACCAAGGATTATTAGACATGCATTTTAATTTCCAAAACCCATTACAACCCAATTTTTGAATACCAGATTTAAAAACTTTTGAATGTGATAATGCATCCTTTGAGAGAAAAAAAAAATTAATATGAAAAATTATGATAGATAAGGTTTTGTTTATAAACTTACTTGAATTTGTTTTTTCCATTTAAATGATCTATTTTTTCTATGGCACAGTAAATCCCAATGTTCGGAAACGAAATTGTATACGTCTTTTTTTAGAGAAAAGAATTCTTTTTCTTTGTTTAAAATCTTTAGTGTATAAAAAACAACCCATAAAATTGTTGACCATGATGATCTGGGCGATAAACAACTTGGAGAATTTAAAGAGCAAAGTAAGCAAGCATCTTTTCTACAGCCACTACCAATACCAGGTTGAGATACCAAAATTCCCTTAGGATAACCATTATTATTATTTTTTGAATTATTTGTTTGATTATTTTGTTGACTATTTACATTTTCATTACTACTATTACAATTTTGGTTATTATTAACACCTCTTGGACTTAGTTGAATCTTTTGTTGTTGATGCTGATGTTGTTGGTGTTGGTGTTGTTGTTGTTGTTGTTGTTGTTGTTGTTGTTGTTGTTGTTGTTGTTGTTGTTGTTGTTGATCAAAACCATTATTTGTTTGATAGTGACCATCATTATATTGTATATATTGAAAATGGTTTGGATAGTTTATAATATCATTATTATTATATAAACTTTGTTGGGAAATTGGTGACATGGGTCTACTATTTAAACCTATTGTTGACATTTGTATAGTTTATTAAAAAATATTATTTTAATAGCTTTTACTTGCGCTTTTTTAAAATTTGAATGAAAAAAAAAAGTTTTAATTTTTTTCTTTTCTTATAATATTATTACTATATTCTTTATTAATTAATTATTTTTTAAAAGAAGGGATCTCTATCATTATGTATTAACCAATACCATTAAAATATAAAATTCCGAAAATGAACTATTATTATTAAACTCTTCTTTTCTTTTCTTTTTCTTCTTTTTATTGTTTTTTTAAACTATAAAATAAAAATAGATTAATATGTATTAGTTGGATCAATATATTCTCTTCTTTATTTTATTATCTATTATTCCAAAAATTAAAAATTATAAACTGTTTTGTTAACACTCACAAACAAACACGCACACAATACAAATGGTTTTTTAAAAATTTTTAATAAACACAATAACTTTAAGACTAAATAATTTTTTTTTTTTTGTATGGTTGCTATTGGTAATAAATTATTATTAATTTTTTTTTTTTTTTTTTTTCAAAAATATTGGAATTAAAAAATAGCTACTTATAAATATATGATATTTTATATATTGTATCTAAAATATTTTTTTCCCCAACTTAAAAAAATTTTAAACTAATGAAATTTTCTGTAATTATTATTTATTTTAATTTTTATTATTAATATTATTATTATTATTATTATTATTATTATTATTATTATTATTATTATTATTATTATTTTTATTTTTATTTTTATTTTTATTTTTATTTTTATTATTATTTTTATTATTATTTTTATTATTATTTTATTATTATTTAATAGAGGAAGAGTTGATTTTATTTGTTAATAAAATAAAAAATTATTTAACAAATACAAAAATAAAAATAAAATAAAATTAATATTTAAATTAAATATAAATATAAAAATAAAATAAAAATAAAAAATCAAATATTAATAAAAGAGTTGTATGTGGTTATTTAAAAATATAAATATTAATTAGTTGTGGTTCATGTGAAACATTTGAATTTTATTATTGTTTTAGTGGAGAGTTTTGTTTGAGATTTATGTGTGGTAAAAAGATACATACACATATGTAATATTTAATATTTAAATAAAAAACAAAAAAATAACTTAAAATAAAAAAAAAATAGAAAAAAAATTAAATAGGTTTGTTTTTAAAAAAAATAAAAAAAATAAAAATAAAAAAAAATAAAAAAAAAAAATTTTAATTTTTTTTTAATAAAATAAAAACCAAAAATATACAAAATTTAAAAAAATTATAATGATTTCCTTATTTAATTATTTATTATAACATATGTCTTTTTATTTTTACTTTGATAGTTAATGAGGGAGTTTAAAGAAGAGAAAAATCGCTTCGATTAAAATAATTTCTACTAGGGAAAAAAATACACGACACCTTATTAATTTTATATATATGGGGTTATTAAACACACATTTTGAACATGTGCTCACCCCCTACATTACCCATGCTTTTTAAAACACTCTCATAAAACAAAGACATAATAATTAATTATTAACTCATTTATTATTGTTATAAAGGATTATTGTGACAATTATAATTATTATTATCATAATTATAAGTGAAGCGGAGTGTATTTAATAATAGTAATTTTATTAGTTATCTTTTATTATGAAACCAAAGAAGAATTAAAATGCAGATTAAAAGACACCTCTTCTGTATCTATTTATTACTAAAAAACCAAATATA